AAGAATTTATACTTCAATTATGCATGTAAAAATCAAGCTACAGATTTAAATAATTTGTGAAGGTAAGAACATATAAACAGTAGGCACTTGGTCTTTCTAACCCTTACTACATAACCTACCATCTACCTTTACTTGCTCCAAAAACAAAATTCCAAATAGAATCAAGTTCAAGCAATGTGTGTTCTGAAGATTTATACTATAAGCTATCAATTAAAAAGGTATGGAGACTTTTAAAAGAAAGCAGTGTTAATTACTTGCACCCAATACACTGAACATCAACAAAGAAGCAAATAGATTTTAGTGGAATATGACAAATAGTTTACAGTATCAATGAGGATGTTGAAACATCTGGTAAATGGAAGTTTGTGATTATATTAATCAAACAAAACTTTGAAGGCAATAAATTAAAATTGACAGGTTTAAATAAGTATAACAGAAAATAAGTGATCAAGATAATTTTTAAGATACAAATGTAATATTAAAGTAGCATTCTAAGATTCTGATTTGGTTTCTATGAACAAGCAAGTGAATATTTTTAAATGTTTTCTTTTGCATCTACCACAACATGCAAAGTATATAAGGTGATGAGTGGAAAGTTAATAAAAAGATAAGCTTGTGAGTTCCTAAATTAATTCATTAGTCTAATATCTATGGAATATATTTTTCTTTTAATGCACACACATAAATCATATTAGCATTAGTGGGAGGAAGTTACACTTGCATGGGAAAAATACAGCAATCAAAATGCAAAAGTCTAAAAGACCTCTTTGTGAAGGATTTGTTTCACTTTTTATTGCAAAAATGCTGTATGCATGATACCAAATGGAAACATTTAATCATCCAAATGTTTCATAATAACTGCATGCTTTATATTATAGATTAAATACAAAAAAATATTTATTGCATTTTATCCATAAAAAGGGCAATTAACATTTGCTAAACACTAATCATGTGCCAAGCACTGTGCTAAGTCCCTGACAAGTGTAGTTATTGTCACAAAAATGCTGTGAAATCATCCCCAACTCAGTGGTTTAAAACAGTCATTTGTTCTCATGAATCTGTGCATCAATTAAGTATTAGTTGATAAGAGACTGGGCTCAGAGGAGTAGAAAATGTGACAAGGGAAGCGAGAGGTTAGAGTGATTCAAGGAAAAGAACGATAGTCTCTAGAAGCTAAAGAGACACGGATTAAATTCTGCTCTGAAGATCTAAGAAGAACCCTCTCTGGTATAAACCCTAATTTTAACCCTATAAGGTCATTTCTAATTTCTACTTCCAGAACTGTATTTGGGTTTTTAAAAACTAATATCCTGATAATCCAAGATGGTGGTAGAGTAGGTGGAAACTATACTCATCTCCTTCCAGGACCATACTGAAATTACAAGTAAATTATTTAACAGTAATCCTAAATAACCAACTGAAGGCTAACTGAAGAGGTCTTATTAAAAAATATTTATTATTATTATTGATTTTAGAAGGAGATAGAGAGAAACATGAATGTGACAGAGAACTATGGCTAGGTTACCTGCCATATACACCCTAACAGGATAACAAACTAGCAGCCTGGGCATTTGCCTTAACCAGAATGGAAATGGAGACCTTTTGGTACATGGAATGACAACCAACTGAGCCACAATGCCTAGGGCATCAATAATACCTCGCTAAGGGGTTCATATCTGTAGGGGGTCGCCTGAGAAGGTACATGGACATTCTTTAAATTGTCAGCTGAACCCGAGGCACTGGCAGAGTACCTTTGTCCAGGTGTCAGCAGGGGCGGGTCTAGATATGTAAATCCAGTAATGCTAGGGCCTAGTTAAGAATGCAAATAAGTGTCAGGGATAGAAACCACAGCTGAGGCAGCATTCACTGCAGCTGCGGTCATCATCCGGGTGTAGTGCATCCCTGCGAGCCTATCCGCCTTGGGTCCCTTCTCTGTTCCAGGCAGGGCTCTGGGAGCCCCGAGGGGCGAAGCGGCAGGGACGCCTCTCTTCGGAAAGGAGGCGATGTCGCAGCCTCGATGGGGCAGGAGCATGCGGGAGTGGAGCTTGGCGACTGCGAGGAGCGCCGGCCGCCAGAGGAGAGCAGATGTCTGTGAAATGCTTCATGTAAGAGACCCCATATAAATTCTAAGAGGGAGCACTGGCAGTTGTTGGGTAATTTGAAGACTACCATAGAGAGTTTGGTGTCAGCCAACAGCCCCAACGTTTGGTCCAAGTATGGTGGCCTGGAATGGCTGTGCAGGGACATGCAGAGCATCCTCTATCACGGGCTCATCCATGACAAGGTGTGTTGCCGCCAAACGGATTACTGGCAATTTGTGAAAGACATCCGCTGGCTGAGTCCTCACTCAGCCCTGCACGTGGAGAAGTTCATCAACTTGCACGAGAATGGCCAGAGCAGCACCGATGGCGTGAATGAGCGTATCATTGCAGAGCTGTGGCTGCAGCACAGCCTGCAGTGCCACTGCCTCTCCGCGCAGCTCTGACCTCTGCTTGGGGACAGACAGTATATCAGGAAGTTCTACACAGATACCGCTTTCCTGTTCAGCGACGCCCACGTCACAGCCATGCTGCAGTGCCTAGAAGCGGTGAAGCAGAACAACCCCCGCCTCCTCGCCCAGATCGATGCCTCTATGTTTGCCGGGAAGCATGAGAGCCCACTGCTGGTGACAAAGAGCCAGAGCCTGACTCCAACCAGCTCCGAAAGAAGATCTACTTCCTTTTCTCTCTCTGGCCCTCCCCGGAAACCTCAAGAAAGCAGAGGGCACATTTCCCCAGCCAAGGATCAAACCATCCAGGCCCCTCTGCTCCCAGTCTCTGCATTAACCAGGGATTCCCCTTCAACACCAAATGAGATGAGCTCCAGCACTCTGACCAGCCCTTTGGAGTCATCCTGGGTCAGCAGCCAGAATGATTCTCCAAGCGATGCCAGCGAAGGGCCCGAGTACTTGGCCATCGGCAACCTGGACTCCTGCGGCCAGGCCGCCAGTTGTCAGAGTCACAGCAGCAATGCCGAGAGCAGCAGCTCCAATCTGTTCTCCTCCAGCGGCTCCCAGAAGCCAGCTTCGGTGGCTTCTTCCCTAGTGGACCAAGAGGGAGGTGGGCAGAGCCAGCTGTCCGGTGTCCCTCGCAGGTCCAGCTTCTCAGAGGGCCAGGCGCTCGCTGTCACCAGTGGAACCACCCCATTCGGATACCAACATCGTCTCCAGAGGAGCCCCAGAGGGTGGCCAGTACCCATGCTCAGGTGAAGGCATGTTCCGAAGACCGTCAGAAGGACAGTCCCTTATCAGCTACCTGTCTGAGCAAGACTTTGGAAGCTGTGCAGACCTGGAAAAGGAGAATGCCCACTTCAGCATCTCAGAGTCCTTAATTGCTGCCATTGAATTAATGAAGTGCAACATGATGAGCCAGTGTCTGGAGGAGGAGGAAGAGGAGGGGGAAAACAGCGACAGAGAGATCCAGGAACTGAAGCAGAAGATCCGCCTTTGCCGCCAGCAGATCTGCACCAAGAACCTGCTCCCTGGGTACCAGGAGACCGAGCACGGAAGCTTTTGGGTCACTTCCAGCAGCTCCCAGTTCAGCTCGCGTGACTCCACACGGCTTTCTGACTCCAGCTCTGCCGATGAGGTTGATGAATTGGAAATCCAAGATGCTGACATCAAAAGGAGCACAGCCTCAAACAACAAACTCTTGATTTTCTCTTCCCAGGCCTTCTCCCACTTCTTTCTCCACTCCACGTCCGCCGAGGCAGTAGCCATGGGGCTCCTGAAGCAGTTTGAGAGGATGCAGCTCCCAGCCGCCTCAGAGCTCGAGTGGCTAGTTCCAGAGCATGATGCCCCTCAGAAGCTCCTGCCCATCCCTGACTCACTGCCCATCTCACCGGATGATGGGCAGCATGCTGACATCTACAAACTGCGTATCCGTGTCCGTGGCAACCTGGAGTGGGCCCTACCCCGGCCTCAGATAATTTTTAATGTTCATCCAGCCCCAATGAGGAAGATTGCTGTGGCCAAGCAGAATTACCGCTGTGCGGGATGTGGCATCCGGACAGACCCTGATTATATCAAGCGGCTGCGGTACTGTGAGTACTTTGGCAAGTACTTCTGTCAGTGCTGCCACGAGAACGCCCAGATGGTTATCCCCAGCCGGGTTCTGCGCAAGTGGGATTTCAGCAAGTATTATGTGAGCAATTTCTCTTAAGGACCTGCTCCTTAAGATCTGGAAGGATCCTCTCTTCAATGTGCAGGACATCAACAGCGCCCTCTACAGGAAGGTCAAGCTGCTCAACCAAGTTCGGCTGCTGCGGATCCAGCTGTATCACATGAACATGTTCAAGACATGCCGATTGGCCAAAGACCTTCTGGATTCCTTTGACGCAGTTCCAGGCCACCTGACGGAGGATCTCCACCTGTACTCGCTGAATGACCTCACGGCAACCAGGAAGGGGGAGCTGGGGCCCCAGCTTGCTGAGCTCGCCAGGGCGGGGGCTGCCCATGTGGAGCGATGCATGCTCTGCCAAGCCAAGGGCTTCATCTGCGAGTTCTGTCAGAATGAGGATGACGTCATCTTCCCTTTCGAGCTCCATAAATGCCGGACCTGTGAAGAATGCAAAGCGTGTTACCACAAAGCTTGCTTCAAGTGTGGGAGCTGTCCGCGGTGTGAGCGGCTGCAGGCCCGGTTGGAGCTGCTGGCCAAGCAGAGCCTGGAGCCCTACACGTCAGATTACGAGGAGGAGCCCATGGAAGCGCTGGCCGGGGAGGCCGCAATCCTGGAGGCCACCTGAAGAACGCACCACGCCCTGGGTCCTGGAGCGAGGGTCACCCAACGCAGAGCTGAGCCGCCCTTTTAAGGACTTGCCCCACTTTTATTTATTATTATTATTATTATTATTATTATTATTATCATTTTTAATGACTTGTCTCATATCCGTAGAGAGCCAGCCTTGGTTGGGTTGGTGGGGTCCAGTCCGCTGTAACACATTGTGGACACCAGGAATTCCCATCAGAACTGACACATGGGTCCCAAAGGGAAGCTAGCAGGGCCTCCGCCAGGGGAATGGACCGTGGAACCCACTTCTCTGACATCCGTGGCCTCCTTCCCTTGGACCAGATCCGGTTGCAGCTGCATCTCAAATGTCATTTCCAGTTTCATTTTGTTTGCGTTCTGGAGCCTCCGAGCCAGGCCTGTCTCAACCAACTCTCTTCTCCTTTGCTGCTGAAACAGGAGGGAGCTCTCTCCCTCCCAGTCCTGGAAGTAGGGCAGGCCATGCCCTGAGGAGAAGCGGCAGAGGACGGACAGCATCGTGGACACTCCGTCCAGCTTACTCCACTACTTTTGAGGCCATGGAGACAGCATGACCACTCCCCTGGGGCCCAGAGGACTCACAGAGGCAGCCATGGCCTCCTCGCTTGAAGTCTTAAGGGCAGGTGATGTGACCGCTCACGGACTTCCTTTATCTACCCTGATGGGCTTGAAGCGAAGAACAGAACTAATACTTCAGCCGGGCCCATTGATAACCTTACTCCAAGCATCAATGAGGCCGATGAAGGAGAATTCATTCTGTCAGAGGAGCTGTCGGTCTCCTCTTAGGTGATAGGGTCCCTACCTCTGGTGCAGGTCTGATTTTTCAAGCTCAGACAAGTCCCCGAGGTCATCCTAAACAGAGGACAGAAACCCCATCTGCCATCTCATCTGGTGGGTTTCTTGCCACTGCATCCTCTCTTAGGTGGTCATTGTGATTCTGGGTAAAAGTAGGGCCCAACTCCGTTCTCTCTTTCCCTGTCCTGTGACAGCTGGGACCCTCCCTGGTGGCTGATATCTTGCCTTAGTTCTTTCTTGTCAAAGTTGGGAAAAGCTTCCTGCAATTAGCAGTATTAAGAGAACTTGACAATTTGTGTTTGTGAGTATGAGTCTGTACGTCAATTATGCACTTAACTTTAGCTTGGTGACAGTTGTATGTTTATGATCCCTTTCATATTACTAATTTTAACACACACACACCTCTTTTTTTAATGTGTGTTTGATGGGAGGGGTTTCTGATGAGACCATGTGTGTTTGTGGTTGTTCTTAAGTTGCCGAAGCTCCCGATCTGTTTCTGAAACACTGGTTAGGGCCGCTGCTCCGAGGGCCAGCAGCTCCGTGACCTAAAACCCACAGCATTTTTGTCCTGGGACTGATCGCTTCCCGTGTCCCTGTCTTTCCATAGTCGCTTGCTAGTCGGGAAAACTTGATGTGTGTGCTGCCCAGGAAGCTGGACAGAAAGTTGCACACGGTTGGTGGAAGCTGATAAGTGCCTGAGCTGGAGGCAACCAGGAGTCTCACGGGAAGTAGCAGGGACTGTACAGTAACAGTCAGATCTTAGGCACCATGGGGCAAGGGGGACCAGTGGCATTGGTCCCTCTGCCTCAAGCTTGGACCCTGAGGCTGCTCTCCTTTCAACTTGTGGAGGAGCCTCTGAAAGCCAAGGCCTCCAGACCAGCCCTGTTTCGAAGCACTGACCAGCAGCTCTCTTGTCCTTCATGGAGTTTGGGAAACGAGCCCATAAAACTCAAGGCTCACGAAGCCCAAGATTCAGGTTGAGGGGTTTGTAAAAACGGTGAGGTCCGCTTCCAATTCTGGTTGACATGACAAATCCAGCTCCTCATTCCACGTCACTACACTGGAGGAGAGTCATCCTCTCCTTTTTGCGCTGCCTGTTTCATATTCGCATAGGATCAGAGGATGGAGAATGCTGACACCGGTTCCAAAGCCGAGCTCAGCAGCCTCACCTGCTGCTGGGTTCTCGCCTATTCCCCTTCACCTCCCCGCCCCGTCCTTTTAGGTTGTGTCTCTGTTTTAGTGACTCTGACGCTCTGCTGTCATCACTGTCCAAAGACCCACTTATTTATTTATTGGAGAGTGAGGGAGAGAGGGGAAGGAGGGTGGGATATTTTGAAAGCACTTTGCAACTAACCAGTATCTGAGAGTCCCGCTCTTGTGGGGAGACGCTTTGAATGCACTGAAGAGAGTTCCCTCTGAATGAAATGGGAGGGAGGAAGTATTCTTTTCTATAAATAAAGGGAAAAACGTTTGCTTACTAGGTGGAGATGAGATTCAAGGCACAGCAGAAGAGTGGAAGGCAGTTATTTTCCACTTACATGAAGCTGCAATTGACTTTCTCCTCTAAGGCTTTAGAGCTTTTTGTTAAATTAACATAAAAGGAGCAAGAATCTAAATGGTGATGTTCTGTGTATACAACTCATGTTCTGAACTGGATTCCTACTTGCTGTAATTCACACGTATCTAACAGCTCATTGTCCTCTTTAATAAACTAAGGAAACAAACAAACAAAAAAATGCAAATAAGCTCCTTTGACCCTATAAATAAACCTGCTGCGTGGCTCGGGCCTTACTGCCTCTCCATCAGAGAGATGGCACCCACCTAGAGCCCAGCTTGATGAATCTATTTCTGCCTCCTGGTCTCTTTCTTTCTTAATCCCCAGCTCCTCCACTCAGGAACCTGTCGTTTTCCATGATGGACACAGAAAACAGAGAAACAGCCCCCTGGGCACATATCTAAAATTTATAAGGAACTACAAAAAAAAAAAAAAAAAAAAAAAAAGGCCGTAAAACTTATAAAACTCAACACCAAAAGCAAACAAGCAAACAACCCAGTTAAAAAATAGGCAAATGACCTGAATAGACATTTCTCCAAAGAGGACATACAGATAGCTAATAGGCTTATAATGTCACTAATCATCAGAGAAAGGCAAATTAAAAACATAATGAGAAATCACTTCATACCTGTCAGAATGGTTACCATCAATAAATCAACAAACAAGTGCTGTTGAGGATGTGGAGAAAAGGGAACCCTTGTGCACTGTTGGTGGGAGTGCAGTTTGGTGCAATCACTATGGAAAACAGTGTGTAGGCTCCTCAAAAAATTAAAAATTGAATTGTCTTATGACCTCGTGATTTAACTTCTGGTGATGTATTTAAAGAAACCTGAAACACTCATTTGAAAGAATATGTGCACCCCTATGGTCATTGCAGCATTATTAACAATAGCTAAGATCTGGAAGCAGCCCAAGTGCCCATCAGTAGAGGAGTGAATAAAAAAAAGCTGTGGTACATTTACACAATGGAATATTACTTGCCTATAAAAAAGAAAGAAATCTTACCTTTTGAAACAGCATGGATGGACCTGAAGATTATTATGCTAATTGAAATAAGCCAGTCAGAAGAAAACAAATACTACATGATTTCATTTATTATATATGTGGAATCTAATGAAAAAAAAAATAGAACCAGAGTCATGGATACATGGGACATACTGACAGCTACCAGAAGGGTGTGGTGCTGGGTAAAAAATGTGAAGGGATGAAAAAAAAAGCAAAAAAAAAAAAAAAAAAAAAAACCACCTCAGAGATACAGACAACATTATGGTGATTACCAGAGGAATAGGGAATGGGGAAGATAGAAGAGGTAGGATAAATGACAGAAGAAAACTTTACTTTGGGGTGGTGAACACACAATACAACATGCAGATCATGTATTATAGAATTGTACACCTGAAATCTATATACTTTTATTAACCAGTCACCCTAATAGATTTAAAAACTTTTTGAAGATATTCAGCCTTAAAACACAACACATTTCCCCCTGCCATTCCCTCAAGTAACTGTTTCATTTTTCTTCTTCCTTTCAACGTCAATCTATATGTGCTGCTGCTACTTTCTGAGAACACATTCCCTTGTTTATGCCTATCTTACTTCCTCACTCTTCTTGCTCTCTGCTATGTTAACTTGCATCTCCCAGTCACCACATATCTTTATCAGTCCTCCTTCTTTCTGCCATCTTTTCAGTATATGCTATTTGCCTATCCTTCTACCTCTTGAAACTCTCCATTTAGTGGAAGTAGGGAGATGTTAGAAATGTGAGTGTGGAGCCAGTCTGTCTGGATTTGAATCTTGACTCCTGCCCTTTACAGTGCTGTGGCCTAGAGTAAGTTAATGAACCTCTCCATGATTCTGTTTCCTTATCTGTAAAAGGAGGGTAATTATTAACACCACAGTGCCCAAATCATATGGTTATATAGTAAGTACTCAGTATATACTCTATCCTTTGATTATACTGCATTATCTTGTCTTCTTCAATTTTTTAACATACAGACTTTAATTCTTCCTCCCAAACCCTTGTTGTTGTGTTTACCCACAGATTATTCTTATACTTCTTTTCAATACTATTCTGTTACTCTTACCTAACATCATAGGCCTGTTATATTCATGCTGAAAATTCTCAAATCTATGTCTGGCCTAAATCCTTTCCAAATACCACTCTATTTCAATTTAAATCCATTTTTTTCCTATTCAGTTTTATATTGACAAACAAAAAAACTGCTCAGTGGTCTCATCACATAACCCCTTTATATACTTTAAGATCACACCTTTCATGCCTTAGCCTTCTTTTTGCTAAGATAAGTAACTCCAATTACTTCAACCTTTTCTTATACTAGTATAGCCTATTTTCCATTTCTTTGAAATTCTTTATTATACTTTTATGTACCATCCCATATCTCTATATTCCTCTTACAGTATAAAAATTCACTCTTTGTACTATTCAAAAATATTTTGACTAATGTTAGTTCCACTAAAAGTGTATCCTAACCTACGGTGCTAAGCCCCTGCTAGGTTCCATTATTCAACTTGTGGGTAAGAATAGTAATTTCCTGTTCTGCTTGATTCTAGCTGGGTCTGTTTCAAAGGATAAAAAGGCAAAATGAATATAATACAAATGACATTAACATGATCTCAGTCAAAGTTGGGTTTTATGCATAGCAACTTGCCATTATTAATTCATATTGTACACTACATGAAAGGAACTAAAGGAAATAGAGTCAAGGATTAGACACATCTAAGCATATTTTATATCCTAGGAGGTCAGCTAAAGGGTTCTTATGAGCTATGCCAAAGGTCATTCTAAACAAGAAAAATAAAAATAAATATCCAGAAGCATACTGGACATCAGACTCAGTTTCAAGAAATATAGTGTTTTATTTATGATTAAGGAGTAACCAGCCATAGGTAGCTGTGAAAAAAATTGGATATGTAAACTGCTATCAAGTATTTGAGTTATAAATGCTCCTATACCAAATCTCCCTAAAAGAAATCCCTTTAAACCATTGTCCCTATGAATACGCTGGCCATTCACAATATATGCCCATTCATCTTTTCCCATTAAGATTTCTATAAGCTTCAGGAACTATTTGTGTAGCAATTGCAACTATGCTAGAGCCAAAAATATCATAGAGCTCTCTTGTTTGCA